TGTTGCTGCTGCTGCTGATACTGCTGCATTTCAGCATCAGTATCAGCAGCACTCTCAGCAGCAGCAGCAGTGATGCGGTTGCATGCATGCATGCATGCATGCATGCATGCAGAATAAATATATTTGTTTTTGTTTGTACCTGGGGTTAGGGGGAGGCCGATGTCCACCTCGTTGATGCATAGAAAGCCCGGGCGTTCGCTCATCACCCTGAAATCGCATGCTAAGGCGATCATGGCTCCACCTGCAAACTGAAAAGAGGAAAATAAAATAAAATAAAATAATATTTTTTAATTAAAATTCAGTTTAATATTATAAATTCAAATTATATTCCGTGCTGAGGAGAGAAATACATAAACTTTTACCTATATATATACAGAATTGAAATCACTCACTGCGTGGCCGTTGATAGCCGCAACGAGAGGCACTGGAAACGTCAGAAGACGGCTGAGGACTGAGATAAAAAAAGAAAAAAATAAAAAATAAAAAATAAAAAAAATAAAAAAATAAAAAACACGGAGATGCAATTCAACTCCATGCAGCTTGAATCTTGTATACAACTTTCAAAGTCTATCCATGTGATAGACATCTCCTTGCTGTTACAGAAAAAAAGATGATAGTAGAATAAAGTAAATCGAATAAGAAATTATAATAAAATAAATATAATGAGAAAAGAGAAAAAGAGAAGATCAAAGCGAAGAGAATAGGGGGGAGAGTAAGTCAAAGCTTTTCAGATAAAAGAGGAAACGAAGATAAATAGCAGAGGGTGAGAGAGAAGAGAAGGTAAAGATGAGAAGCAGCGGGAGAATAAAAATACAGAAATTCGTATATATGAAAAAAGATGAATAGAGAGTTTGGCCAGTATAGGAATAAGTTAAAGAGGAGCAGATAGGGGGGGAAAAGAAGATATAAAAGAAAAGGATATGAAGGGGTAAATTACGTCTATGAAATGAATTCAAAAGTTCTTTCGGTTTCTCCATCAAAATATCTGTGTTCAATCCGTTGCAAAAGAACTTTCCTTCTCCCCCAATAACACAGGCGGTGGGTCCTTCTGTGGATTCTGAAACCAGCAGAAAGCATCCATGAATAAATGATGATTTAATTGATTTATTTTTTATTTCCCGCAAATAAAAAAAATAAATTAACTTATTTCTCACCAACTTTATCCAATATTTCGTGCATTTTCCCTATGTAGCTGAAATCCAAGCGATTTTCAGAAGCGCCAAGGTGAACTGTATACACCCCTTCTTTTGAGGGGCCTTCTAGCTGCGGGTAATCCATAGTTTTAGGAAAATAAAAAGGCAGAATAAAAATAAAAATATAATTTAGTTCTCAACAAAGAGGGGGAAAAAAGAAATATACACATTTCAACTCGAAGCAGGACTGCGGCTGCTGCCTGTGGCGTTGCCGCGGTGGCAGAAACACGAAACCGTCAGCCCCAAGGAAATTTTTTGCTCAAATATTTGTGAAATCTAAGTTTATAAAAGAGTTTAAATTAAAATTTATCCAAGAAACTCCAACAAGGGTTCAATTGCTGCAGGTTTCCACCCACCGGTCCACTGGTGCGGCGGGTGCTGTGTTGGTCTGCAAGGGAGCAACCCGGGAGAAGGAAATGAATTCAAAGCAATAACAGCTAATAAAAAAGATAAAAACCAACAAACACAAATTAAATTTTCCCCAAATAAGAAGAACACGCATGTTAGCTTCACATAATATAAACAAATACATTGCTCTGAAACACGACGAACGCACAAAGTGACCCGGGAGGAGAATATGGTTTGGAGGCTGTAACATAGACGAATAAAGAGAAGAAGATATTTTACCCCCAGAGAGTATGGATTCACATATTCAACTTAGATAAGATGAACAAACAAATTAGCCTGAAAGGCGAAAAACAAACAGATCAACATCAATACTAACCTGAGAGTATAGAAACAAACATGGTGACCTCGAAGAAGAAGAATAAAACACAAACTCAGAAAAGAATAAAAACAAATATATTAGGAGTGAAGACACTGATTTTCCTCATTCACGATGCTACAGCAATCCACTCACGCCAACAGCAAAGAAAACAAAGAAACCACCCAAACGCGTTTTATTGAATTTTTGCTGGTAATCAAGAGTACTCGGCATACGATTGTTTTTTTATCATTTGTACTATATTTAAAATTTTTAATTAATTTTATTTGGCTCACAGCTGTTAATTGATTTGTATTCGGTGTTGAGTAGTTGATCGGTATACAGCTGCCGTCTATCTGTTCTACTTTTCTCCTAGCTGCTAATAAATTGCATTTGGTTTACTTTTATTAATCATTTGTACTCTTTTTTAATTACTAATAAATAAATTAGTAATTTTATTTATTTTATTTAATAAATTTTATTTATTTGGCTTAAAGTTGTTAAGAACCCCCAATGCCATCCTCGCTCTAAAATTCTGAACTAAGTAGTTTCTCGTGAATTGCTGTAACCACTGAAGTGTATTTTCATTAAAAACTTTTTTTTTTTTTTCATTGAGAGTTTATTTCGATCCAACTTTGTTTTCATCTGAGGTGTGTTTGTCTCTGGGGGCTTGTTCTACCTTGTCGACCTTTAAAAGCTTCTGCTGCTGGCGGAGCTGCTGCTGCCGCTGCAGCTGTTGTTGCTGCTGCTGCTGCTGCTGCTGCTGCTCCTTTGCATATTACGCCTCTCTCAGCTGTCTGCAAGGAGGTTCCACTGACAGCCATCTTGTGTTTAAAACTACAGAGTTTTCCCGCTTAATACTCGAAATATTTTATTAACTTTTTCCAGCAGTTGGTAGAAATTCAAGCGGGCCAAACAATGCTCTGCCAGTGCATATAGTTAGCTAGCGATGCTAAACTGTGAAACATCCGCATGTTATTTGAGTGCACGTTATGCATATGCATATATAAATATAAATATATATATATATATATATATATATATATATATATATATATATATATATATATATATATATATGTTTGTTGTATGTATAAAGCACACACTAAATAAACAATAATCCGTACATTAAATATATAGTACATATACTACATACGCAAATAACAAGGGCAGTATTTACAAACAAGTATATAAACGTCTTTTATATACATCTTAAAAACTAGAGAACAAACTTTCTGCAACTGGCGGAAACTTGAAAGTTTGCGAAAGTTCACAAATCCGTCCCAGCAGCAGCAGCAGCAGCAGCAGCAGCAGCTGGTGCTGCTGTTGCTGTTGTTACTTAGAATTGCTTCAGCGTTGTTTTTCTTATCCTTCTAAACCATGCGTGCATGCATGCATGCATCGATGCATAAAAAACATGCACCCACGAAGGGAATCATGCATGCATGCATTCCACGCACTCATGGATGCAACCCAAGCGAGAAAAGGATAGAGTGGAAGGTGCACACATGCAATGCATGCATGTGTTGCATACAAGCAATATATGCATGCAGTACATGTATTGTATACATGCATGCAACGCATGCATGCAACGCATGCACGGGATATATGTATGGCATGCATGCCTGCAGTGCATGCATTGAATGCACATATAAAGTGCATGCATACTCATGCATGCATTCACGACAGGCACGGGCGAAACCCATGAAAGCAGTCAGAGTTGAATTGCTGTTATTTATTACGTCACGCCTCTCCTCTTGCTGCAGAGCAGAGGGCTTCATTGATTGGATGGTTTGCATGCGTTTATATTCATGTTGCAAACGGCTGCAGCGTGAGCAGCACATAAGGGAAGAAGTCTTCGCCTTCTCCTCCGTCATTGCTATCCTTGGCGTAGAACCTGTTGCCGAAGAGGCCAGGGGGAGTGATGAGGGTATCGAGTTCTTTGTGTATTTTTTTATCTTTATTTTCTCCTATAGGCCTCAAGAAGAAAGAAACAAAATTAGGAGGAACACCAAACCTTAGCACGGATTCACAGAATACCCGCATCGCTTTCAAGTGTACCCATGCAACAAATATATCCGAGAATGCAGCGAAACAAACTCGACTCAAAAAAGTTTCGTGTTTTGTTTGTTCCGCCATAATCTTGGCTCTTTGTTCTGTCATTTCTTTATATACTCCCTCATTATAATTAAAATCACGAACCACAAACCTGTGTTCTGATGCAGCTTTCTTGAACTCCTCTAAACCCCTCTTGAACAACACAACCCTCCACAGACAGACCCCTTCACGATCCGGGGGAATGTTGAATTTCTTAGCTGAGCGCGGCACAACGAAATGATTTAGTTTTTCATACGAATTCAACCAGTTTGCCTCTGCTTCTAGCGCTACACACACAACAGCTGTTGTCAGGTGCTCCGTCTGCACGAAATCCTCTTCTTCTACGACAGATGGGGTTAAGAGATCCACGAGGTCCCGCTGGGCGTACGACAATACATCTCGCTTCGAGGCAGAGGCACTGACCTGCTGCCGCACCTCCTGCCATGCTGCTACCTTGGCTCGTACTTCTTCATCAAGTTTGTTGACTGACTGAACAATTGCTTCAATGTTTTCGCGAATTGCACGCGCTTTAGGAAACTTTGATTCATCCCAAGTGAAACGGCGGATGTACTGCTCAGGAGTCAAAGAATGCCGCTGCCACATAATCTTGAATTGTGCATCAGGGTCTATTTCAAGTGCCTGACGCTCCACGCGCCGCAGCACTGCCTCCACAACGCCGTCTTGTTTCTGCAGTGCATCGACGGCGCGGATCAGATCGTCAAAAGAGCCGAATTTCAGGCCCAGTGGCACATCAAACAACCCCACGTCATCACACAGCGGGGTACGCGGCAGCAGCAATGCATTGCGTACACCCGAGTGAATCAACTCCGTCGTTTGGCCCTCTCGAAGCGAACTTGCAATCAACCAAAAAGCAGGCTTCACAGAACGGCCTGCTGCACGCCCGCCGCCCCCTTCCCCTGCTGCTGCCATCACGAACACTAAAGATGGAGGAGCAGCTGCTGGAGTGCCACCCCGAACCGCCCGAACATGAAAATAAATGCAACAAAAAAACCGCCTCTATACCCGGCCGTACTCCGCGGGGCCCCTCCCCGCATGTGCGGCGGCCCTCGCTCCTCAGGTGTTTCTGAACCTCCCTCTTGAATATACACTCGAAATAATACAACTTTTACACAAACAGCAGCAGAAAACTCCAAGGAATGCCGCCACGCGTTCAGGTACTTGCACACAACGGAGCGGAGAGCAGAGAGAGGGCACGGGGGCCTGGCTGCCTTCTCGCGGACCTCAGCAGAAACACGATACGAGCTCAGCAGTAAAAATAATCAACTCGAATTATAAGCCTTTCAGACCTCTCTAATCGAATATCACATATACCCTCGTGTGCTTGCATGCTCAGCGGCTTCGGTAGCCGCCGTCGGTCCGTCGCCACTACAGAACACAACACAGTGCAATGTAAAACCTGCTTTAGCAACAAGTCCAGTAAATCCTTTATCCAATCTCCATGTAATTAAAAGAAGCCAGCTTACTTCAATTCAAACGCCACAAAATAACTGCAGGGAAGCACACGACCGCGTGTGTGTTTTCTCCTGTCGTGCTGGTGTTTGCTCGGGAGAGAACGGGGGCCCCGAGGGTTTCTTGCAATCTGTCTGAGGTCGGTGTAATGTGTAATTATTCTAGCAAGCAGGCTGCCTCCTGTGGGCCAGGGACGTCGTAGATTGTTGATAGTAATTTTCCAAAGGTGCTACTGCATGCAGCCAAAGGCGGCTCTACTGGGTATTCTGCCAGGCTATGGTGGGTTGCACTGCAACGAAGGTTGCAGCAGGGAGTGTTGCAGCTCATGAGAGGACTAACAGGCTCCTCGCCGCACAATCAACCCCACGCCTTTGTGCCTCCATTGCAGCGTACCCACGGTTTGATCTGCCGTAAAGTTAAGTTTCCTCGTTTGGTTTACTTCTAAGTACACATTAGTTGTTTGTACTGTGAATTATACAAAATACAAAAGTTATATACCCCCAGTACTGTAGACTTGGGTGCTGTACTCAAGTCGCTTGGAAACGGGAGGGGAGGTTAAAGCTGTTTTTTCGCAACCCACATATTAAGCGTTTTGACTCTACCTGGCTCTAACGACAATTGTTCGCCTTACCTGTCTACCACCAGCTGAAGTATACGGCGCAGCATGCACGAGGGATGCAGTGTCTTACAGCACATGATGAAAGGGGAATGCAGATGCAAGACTAACCAAATTCCCTTATGCTGCATGTACTAACGCTGTAGATAGTCTTTGAAATTTATACATGTATTTCTACTAGAATGAATGTTGTATGCTGCCGGAAAAGAAAATGTTTAGAGTGGCCATGCTGCATACGGCCACTCCGCGACCCACACTAGTACACGCCCTTGTGTGCCTGATTGCCAAGCAAGGGATGGGCGGAAGAAGGGTAGGAAAGGAGAACACGAGAGTGCCCAGAGCAACCCAAAAAAGAGAAGCAAAGGAAATTTAGCAAAGGATGGAAAGCTGCCGGCACCTGCAGGCGCTGTGCCTGTTTGTTGCTTTTGCCGCGAACTGCACAGCGCGTCTGCAGCCAGGGCCCCCCACAGGTGGTGAATACGGTGCCCCTTGCCTTGTGTTTGGGGTTGAAGCCGCCGTTCAATACAACCCCAACCTAGTAGAAAAATGAGAATCCGTGAATACATGTGACAATTGCCATATAAAGGCTATACGCTGCTCAATCTGTTGGTGCGTTGTTTAAGCCCACGCTTATACCCGCCGCCGCTAGCTCAAGAAAGGCGTATATATATATATATATATATATATATATATATATATATATATATATATATATATATGAGGAATGCTTTCCCATGGTCGATATCCAGAGATCAACTCGGATTATCAAAGTCCCGGGTATCTAAGGCTAAACTCTGTTAACTCTGTTAAATGTGTCTTCACGATTTCTTTCTCCTCCAGCTTTTCCTTCTCTCAATGAGGTAGCTGTAGCTGTGCGAGTAAAATTCCAGGCGTTGATGGTATGCTGACGTTTCTAGAGCGCAGATAAGTCGACGACCTAAATTAACGCTTTTGCCGCCTGAGGGCAAGCAACAGAGGATATCATGCAACAGATCGCGAGTTTCCCCCTCAGCCTGTATTTCTGCGCGTTCCGCAGAGAGTACAACTCCACTAGAAGCCAGTCGTTCAGGCCAAAGACAACTACCAAACGTCGTTTATTGTAGTGTCGCGCCTGAAATTTTGGGGTTTTCTTTTTGCGTAACCATTGCTCATCGTTTTGCCTCGAGAAAAGCAGCTGGCATCCTCACCAGTCAACAAGCGGGCTGGAACTGGAGGCCCAAAGGCCTGGTGAGGGATACAGCATGTTATGAGTTGCAACAAACCCTACCCAAACTAGTGGTAGCGCAAGGCAATCCCGCAAGCAAGAGCAACAGAGCCTACAGTGCTGGTGCGTGCATGCATATGCTGCATGCACTAAAACTGTAGAAAATTGTTAACTATTTGATTCTGAGTAGGCAGCCTTCTTGCAAGTACAGGCACCGGTACTGACTTCACAAGGAGCAGGCCATAGGGCCGCTGTGCAGCGCCTGCGTGGAGGCTGTAGGAGTAGCAGGGCTAGCGTAGGTGCTTTGGGGGGGCGCTCATTATAATTTTTTGTGCTGTACTACAGCTGGTAACGATCCTCTGCTAAGATCGAGGTTCTTGTTGCACTCGTAACGAACCCCGCCAGGGGGAAGCAAGGGAGCGGCCATGGGGTTGGGACGCGCGTTTAAATTTCACCAATAACGAGGGAAATATCACCACTAGAATTGATCATAAGTTGAATTCGTGAGCAATGAACATATTTAAATGGAAACAATGACTAAATTCCTTCGTAAGAGCACCCCAGCCACGGGACGCTGGAGCGGCTGCTGCGTGGGCAGGCTGCAGTGGGTTCGGTGTTCGCGGGGTTGAATGGGTTAATTCATAGCCGCGATAGAAAGTGAATAGTGTTATTTTGTAGTAATTACAAAAGAATTAAATGTATTTTTGTTGAAGAGAAACGCAGAAGCTTCCCCGCTTGCAAGCACCACCCTGGCTGCAGCATTATTAGCTCCGGTAGCAGCGGCTGCTGCAGTTGTTTAGATGGGCGCGGTATGTATGTATGAAGTAACAGAGAGTTTGCGTGTGTGGTTTGCTGTTGGTGGCCGTGTCTGGTTATTAGGAGTAATACTCTTTGCTGTCTTGATTGAAAATTCTTATTTTGCCGTGTACCCCGCAAGAGCCCACAAAACTCCTTCTGCGGGCCCCCTCCCCACGGCTGCAGGAGCGCTGCGACGGCAGAAGAAGCAACAGAAAAAACAAGAAGTTCGAGGCCTCTTCTCCTCAGCGAGTTCCTCTCCAGCGTTTATTTCGTGTTCGTCAGGTGCGTAGTGTCTGCTGTGCCGACCGGCGTCCTTGGCTGCCTCCACAGGGCCTGCCTTTGCATGCTACTTGCTGCTGGTTTAGACCCCTTCCTTTGCAGTTGTGAACTTGTGAGCTCTTCCTTGCTCTTCTCTTCTTTCCCGCTGCCCTCCTGCGCGTTGCTTCTCCTGGTCTGTCACCCGTTGGCCCGTTGTCTCAAACCTCGAACCGTCAATCATGGATACCGCATTTCCAACAGGGGGGACGGCTGATGCAGCGCCCGCCAAATACATTCCCCCCCATCTCCGTCGCCAGCAGCAGCAGCAGCAGCAGCAGGGGCCAGGCGCTTCAGCAGCAGCATCAGCAGGTTCCCCTTCGGCCTCGGTGGGTGGCGCGTACCCTTCTTACCCGTCTACAGGGGGGGGAGGAGCAGCAGCTTGCACGGGCCCCCCACGCCCAGTTTCAGGGGCCCTGGGGTCTATGAATGGCCGCCGCAATCCGCAGGGGTCCTCTCCTGAGGCTCGCGGCCGCTTTAGTTGTTTAGCTGACCGTCCCTCTCCGGCCAGCGACTTCCGGGGGCCCCACGGGGACTCGCGAGGAGGCGGAGCGGGTGTCGCCCCTGATGGACACAGCGCACCGCGTGGAGGCCCTGGGGCCGGTGGAAGCAGCAGCTGGAGCGGGGGGGGGAGGCCACCCCGCCCGAGTCAGACAGGAACGGGGTGGGATGTGCGTGACGGCCGCTCTTACAGGCCTGAGCGCGCAGATGATGTGTTCAGTCCTGAGAAGCAGCAGAGCACCGGCATTAAGTTTGATGCGTACGACAAGGTGCCTGTAGAGCTGAAGGGACGGGGGTCCGAGAGGATTATGCCTGTAGAGTCGTTTGAAGAGGTGGGCTGCAAGTTTTCTCCTCTTCTTATGGAAAATGTCTCGCGTGTAAACTACAGCAGACCCACACCAATTCAGAAAAACTCAATCCCCACCATTCTAGCAGGCAGAGATCTCATGGCCTGCGCGCAGACAGGCTCAGGGAAAACGGCAGCTTTCTTGTACCCCATCATTGCGCAAATGCTCCAGACGGGGCCACCGCCTTTGCCTGCTAGCGAACGTGGATCAACCAGCGCGTACAGAAGGAGCGTCTTTCCTGTTTGTCTCGTCCTTTCACCCACCAGAGAACTAGCAATGCAAATATACCAAGAGGCCCGCAAATTCCAATTCGGAACTGGCATCCGAACGGTGCCGGTTTATGGCGGATCTCAGATCAAACGACAGCTCATGGACTTAGATGCAGGATGCGATATTTGCGTCGCAACACCAGGCAGACTTGCAGACGTTCTTGAAAGGAAGAAGGTATGTATCCTGCTTCTCGTATATAGTTCAGCTTTATCATGCTTGCCTTGGGAGTGTATATCCATAGCTACAGAACATGAACGTGCTTCTTTTGTTTCGAAATACTGTTGTAGAGTGCGTGATCTGAAACGATTGCCACGAACGTACAGAGCGGCCGCCGTTCTGTTGCCTGTAGAAGTGACAGCTGCATATTGGGAGAGCCTGGGGTTCATGTTCCACTGTTTAGGGTTCAAGGCTTAGGATTTATGGTTGCCTGTCGATGCATTATTACTCTAGGGGATTTCCCCTTTTCTTTATAGCTCTTGTTCCTACAGATGTGTTGTGAGTATGCTTCTCATGTCAGTTGGTATTGTTTGGGTTGCCCTTTGTTGCGATGTTGGATGTTTGGGTATATGTCAAGCCTTCGTTTTTGCGTATTTGCGCGTTCAGATTCGTCTTGCTTTGGTGCGCTACCTGGTGCTGGATGAGGCGGATAGGATGTTGGACATGGGATTTTTGCCCCAGATAAAGTCCATTGTAGATGATTTCGACTTGCCTCCGTGCCCTTCTCCCGGCAGCGTTTCAGAAGAAGGACCCGGGCGCGGTCGGCAGACTATCATGTTTTCTGCGACGTTCCCGAAGGAAATTCAAATGCTAGCCAAGGATTTCATGCACGATTACATCTATTTGGCAGTAGGACGCGTGGGGAGCACGAACGAGTTCATTCGTCAGCGGCTGTTGTATGCAGACGAAGACCAGAAGATCAAGTTGTTGGTGAATCTGTTGCGCGAGTCGGAAAAGGGTTTGGTGATTGTGTTTGTAGAAACAAAGAAGAAAGCAGACATGATCGAGGATTACCTTTTGAATGAGACGTTTCCGGCTATTTCAATTCATGGCGACCGCACCCAAGAAGAACGCGAAGACGCACTGCGGCATTTCAAGTCGGGTCACAGGCCGATTCTGGTGGCTACCGACGTGGCAGCCCGCGGCCTCGATATTTCGAACGTTAAACATGTCATTAACTACGATTTGCCTTCCAACATTGACGACTACGTACACCGCATAGGCCGTACAGGCCGTGCGGGCAACCTCGGCTTGGCCACCTCCTTTGTCAACGAACAAAACAGACCAATTCTACGCGATCTGCTGCATCTTTTGGAAGAGGCGAACCAGGAAATACCCGGATTCCTTCATCCTCTCGTCGTCTCCTGCACCTCTTCCTCGCTGCGTCTGGGAGGCAGGGGGGGCTTCGGCCGCATGGCGAGCAGCAGCAGCAGTAGATTCGGGGGAGGTGGGGGGGGCTCGTTCAGCCGCTCCTCTGCCACAGCGGGCTCGTCGTATTCAATTGGAGGCGGCAGCCGCATGACGGGAGGGGCATCAGATTGGCGATCGGAGGTCCCAGGACGACCCACAGGCTTCTCTGCAGGCATGGGCTTCGCAGCAGAACGCAGCGGCGGGCCTGCGCGAGATGCATGGTAGATGGATGCTGCAAGCATGCATGCTGCATGTATACACCCATGCATGCATGCGTGCATGCATGCAGACGCACGGACGGATGGATGGACGGGCTCTGTTGAACCCTCATAGTTGCAACTTCATCGTCAGATGTAACGCAGGACACCCGGGGCGCCGGTCTCCTGAGGTCGTTGCGTCTCCGGTGTTTTGTTTTGCTTGCCTTTGCCTTGGCGCAGAAAAAGAAAACTGTCGATACCTCTGCAAATCAAATTTTGTGTGCCATTGCCGCACCAGTACTCCAGTATAGTTTTGGTTGGTCTGTACGAGCGTCGCGTACTCCAAACAAATATACGGTTCTAGATGTTTATATGCAGATAAATATGTATTTAATGGCATATAAATGCAGTTATACAAACAAGTGAATACTCCATTAGTCGCTGTAAGCACGGATACCAAACAAGCAGTCGCCTCCCGGACAGGGCGCGCTACAGTTTCCCCTAGGCAATGTTTTCAGCAGCACAAGCAGCAAAACTAGTAGCAGCAATAGCCGCAGCACCGGCGTTAGCAGCAGCATGTACAGCAGCCTCAGGAGCATTGACAGTTTCTACAGCCCGTGTGTAGGTTGTCCATCGCCGGTTGTCGTTCAAATAGAACTGCATTAATAGTGATGTTGCTGTTCAAATGTAATAAAGGTGATGACGTTTGATGCTGCTACGCGAAGGCACCAGTGCTAAATTTGGGAACGGAAATAACCTTTGGCTGCTCCAAGACGCCGCAGGCGAACAGGAGGAGGCTTATGAGCTGTTATACAGCTTTGGAATTTAGAGCTCAGGGTGTAGGGCATCGGGGTTCTGAATTTGGGGCTCTGGAAAATTCAGGTTGAGGCCCTTGAAATTCGCCGCAGAGCCTGCTCCTACGTTGCATGCCGCAGGACTTTACGCGTTTGTCTACACAATACATACAAAACAAGGACACACGGGAATTGCAGTTTTTTAATACAGATTTGACAGTGGGATAAATGAAGTAAACATATAAATACGAAATAATTGAAGTAAAGGAGCTTGAATAAATGAATGAGAGGATTTGTATACGATTTAGATGAGACACACAGGTTTGAATACGAAGTAGCTGAAATACGCATATTTGAATCCGAAATAAATGAATATGAACTAAATGAAATACTCCATTGCGGCCAAACACTTTTATTTCATTTATTGTATATCCGTCTAGTTCTTGTTCGGCTGCTGACCCGATTTCATGCTTAAGCAGATCTGGACGGATACGGATGTGAACGTAACATTTAAATCTAAAGAGATTTGCATGTGGAAGAAATGAACTAACTACGAGTAAATAAGAAATAAATGAAATGTTGGGGTTTGAACAAGAAATAAGCGGAGTAAGCAGACTTGGGATTCATGTCCATCTCGTTGAAAGTGTTTTCTACTAAATGTGTAGGAGGCACGAACGAGAATCCCGTTTTCCACGGAGAGACTTTATTGCATTTCAAGGTAGCAAACACACTTGGCTGTAAGCAACACCGTTTGCGTCGGCCTATGGGCCAGTCACAAATTCGGGAGCTGCAGTAGCTGCTGCTTCACCTTGAAATGCTGCTTTGCCGGAGAGAAAAGCATCTGAACCAATAGAAATGGGGATCATAGGGTTCCGCGGTGAGCGGGGAACTCCAGCGTAATAATAATAAATGAGCCTCGTGTGCGGAAAGAGCTCAGGCCGGATGCTACTCGCCATCGCCGCCTGCTTCTGCGGTTTCATACCACTGCCACTGACACAGCTGACGCTCTTAAACATGCCTGAATTGTTGGTGTTGCTGCTCGTTTGTTCGCGGCCCCTGCGTGCGTCTTTGGATGGTGTGTGGCTGGTTTGTCTTGTTGCTTGCAGGAGATGTGGATACTAGACATGTTTGTCTAAAATGTTGCTGAGTTCCATATGAAGAAACTCTTCTGCTGCTAAAGGACAAAAGCATCCGAACAAAACGCGGGCACCCAAAAATAAAGCCCAAAGGATATTTGCAAGCCGGAATCAAGAAAAAGAACCGTTCGCGTTTCAACGAGATTTGAGTTGCGGGCAAAAGCAACGGCCGCCACTCTTCTGTCCTGAGAGGGTCTGCAGAAGGAAGTTTGCTGACTATAAGCGGCATTTCTCATGGGCTGTGCGCTCCTCCTGTGCAGCTTGGCTTTTGGCGCTGCGTGTCTGCTGCTGCTGTGAAGAAGCTTTAATCAAGTTAGCAGCAGCTGCTCTCTATATGTATGTGCCATAAACGTCGGGCGTGCATTCGGCGTGCTCTAGCAATGAAGAAATGTAAATGCGCCTCCTGCAACACCAGAAGCACCAAAAGCAACTGTACCAGCAACTGTACCAGCAACCGAAGGCAGTACAGTGGAGAAACGGGAGCCACAGCAGCATACGCGGGCATACCAGCAGCACCAATTGCCATACCAATAGCTAGAACAGCAACAGGAGCAGCAGACAGCAGCAGCAAAGGTGCCCTTCAGGGTAGCAGCAGCTACAGAAGCAGCTCGCAGAAAGCGGATGCTTTACGCTTCAGATACTCCCACACGCGCAAATTTCGCAAGAGCTCACACTTTGCAGCACCAGCGACAGCCAGACGAAGGGCTACCAGTCAGGAGTTCGGCTATGGGACAGCCTGAGTCTCAGCAAGGCCTCCCAAACTGCCTAACCATGTTTCCTTCTATATGCGCCTCCAATTGGCTTCCAATCGTTTTTTAGTGGAACGACCGCTGCCTATATTGTGGAGGCGTGAGAATGAGATACTGCGACTGCATGAGCGACGAAGGCCGCTGCATTTGTCTGTGGGAATAGCATACTGCAGCGTTGTTGGTCTCTGCGGGGCAGCATGTGGGGAGAGACCGACGGGCTGCGCCTGAGCTTCCCCACTGTATTCTGCAAGTCCTGAAGTGCGCCCAGATACATGAACATGGACGGCGCCTGCGGGACAGAAGCAACTTGCTGCTGGGTAGCCCCAGATCTTCCAAAGAATGCGTCGAAGACAGAACCAGCCACCGCTGCTGTTGTGCTCCCTGGAATTGCATCTACCCGCATACGGAGAAACAAGACCTACACTAGCATGGGGATACTACGCCCATCACCTGCACTAGCATGCGGAGACTACGTATGCTTTTCTGAGCTAGTGCTGGTACGTCTACCCGCATGCGGGGAAACAGCACTTACACT